ATGCCTAACTGCCATGGCATTGTACTTCAGTACTGGGAGCTACAGAGGTAGTTTGAGGTTCCTATTGTACAGTTGACTATTTTTCATTTTAGCACTCCAACTACCTCTGCTACCTCAACTGGTAGCAGATGGTTCTAAGATATTTTAGGCCTCCTCTTAACTAATCTAGTGGAACTGATCTGGTCTGTGGAAGTGGCTTCTTGAGGTGATTTTAGTGTTCCAAATCTTGCTAAGCAGATGTCAGACATAGATGTGTCTGGGATCAGCAGCAGCTGCCTTCTAAACCAAAAAACCACTTCAGGCTAGATTTCTGGCACAACTCCAAATTATAATTTTGTCTGGGGAGAATCTGTTGTACCTTGTACCTCACAGGTGCAGCCTTTTGAGACTGACTTCATTCATGCTGCCAGTTCAGAATTTCTAAGAAAGAAGAAGAATAAAATTCTGACCTAATTTAAGCTTGCTGTCAAGGGATTTCTGTGGAACATATTCCTTCTCATTACTGTTTTGAAATAATTTGGCCAACAGCATCCAGGAAAGACAGATGCTTGCTGTTAATTATGTATGACTGAAGTTCAGCTAGTCCTGGAATCTAGCTATCAAATCCAGTCATTAGCTTTAATTTTCATTAGGTGTAATCTCTAGCTGTGGACTATAATAGTTGTATTCAATTCTAGCTACAGATAACCTACTGTCTAGTTCTGTGGAGAATGCAGATCAAGAAACTTTGCCCACCTTAGGTACCAAACTACCCGCACTGCAGCGCTCTGCCTGTTCAACACCTCTTACCCAAGCAAATCGTGGCACCAAAGAGCAAGACTACAGACCTAAATCAACTGGTAGAAAGACTCCTACAATGGCCTCCCCAGTACCAGGAGGCCCTTTCCTTCGTCCTGTTCATCAAGTACCCCTTGTTCCCCATGTACCCATTGTACGACCTGCTCATCAACTGCATCCGGGATTGGTCCAGAGAATGCTGGCACAGGGGGTTCATCCACAACATCTTCCTCTGCTGCAAGCAGGTAATCTGTCCCTGAAGTTAATGCATGTTCTCTGCAAGACTGACTTTGTTAGGAACAGCACGCACTGATACTGACTACCAGTAATGTTTATTACATCAAAACTTACCTTTAAAACCAGGCAATAAATTCCAATGCATCTAAATATATAAATGTTTGTTTTGCTTTAAGTTCCTTATGCTTATTAGGTAAGAAGCTTCCTCACTGTTGTTCAACAGGTATGCTTCCTCCTGGAGTGGACCTGTCTCACTTGCAGGGAATATCTGCTCCCATCCTTGGCCAACCTTTCTATCCGCTACCAACAGCAAGCCATCACATCTTAAATCCACGCTCTGGGACACCTTTGCAGCTGGCGATGATGCAGCAGCAACTACAACGATCAGGTAGGCTAAAATGTAAAACAGGACAGTGAGTTTTAGAACACTAACTAGCCCGCTGTGCTCTACTTGTTGGTGTGTTTCAATATACTGTGCTGATAGGAAGCTACTTTGTTAATTTAGATACTCACAATCGCTAATTTTGTGGGGGTGTCGGAGCAGTTTTGGCCATTGCAGGCTCTTATGCCAGAAGAAAGTCTCAGTGAAGCATTCGGTTTTAAGATACATGTTGCTATTGACAGATCTGCTTTTTGCAGCATGTGTGCAGTCCTTCCTTGCTGGATAAGAAGCCACCCACCTATCTCAAACAAAATTCTGTTGGATGCTGGTCTTCCAGTTAAAACCATGTGATACTGTGTCCAGAACTAACAGTTTCAGGCAATTCATGGGAGTACTAGCACAAGGATAAACGTGGGGCCTGGATTTCCCAGGACCAATAGAATGGGTAAAAGCCCCATTCGGTGCATGTCTTATCAGGTCATTGCTCTAGGGCAGATCTCCAGTCCGGTGAACTACTGCTCCACCTCTAATAGCTTTACATTCCGCAGGCACAGGAGCACAGGGATCAGCCGCTGGTGCACAAACCACCCCTCAAAATGTGCTGCCTCGGACTGGATTATCTCATGGGCACACACAGCTTGACCATCGCCCCAGCCAGAGAAGTGGCTCTCCCATTGGCCTTGCAAAATGGTTTGGTTCAGATGTCTTGCAGCAGCCTCTCCCTTCCATGCCATCCAAAGTCATCAGTGTAGATGAACTGGAATACCGGCAGTGAACAGTGACCACTGGGTGGAACACTTGTGGTTCTTTAGACTGGATACAAATGTCCATAGTCAGGACTTCACCTCTGTTTGGGTTTTGGGGCTTTTTATTTTTAGCACTCTGTGCAAAATTTCTTTTTGAGAGACTAAAGCACATGGCACCTGTTCTGGTCTCATGTCTGCATCAAGACTAAAGGATCCATTATGGCTTGAATAGTGAAGCCTGAAGAAATTTAGATGCAAGACAAAGCCAGTTTAATCCTGGAAGTGTCTATTTTTTTTTTGGTTTTGTAAGATATGTGAATGAAGTGCTGATATTCTCTAGTGTAGAGGTAGCAGCTATGGATTCCTCCTGCAGAAAACTAAATGTATAGACCCTTGTGTACAGACTTGTGTATAAACAATCTTTTGTATATATACACATAGAATAGACTTTTTGAATCTATACAGCTGTACATAAGAGTAGCTGATAACAGTTGAGCTTTAGTTGTGCCTATGGTTTGGATCTTTCTCCATTGTACGTGTGGGACTTTCTTTAAGATTGAAGTTGCATATCCTAAGTGTGAGTGAACAGGATAAAGTTGCTTTGCCTTTTCTTGCTGCTCATCTCCTCTAGGTATCCCTCTCACATTCTTCTGTCATGTACTGTGCACTCAGTGTAGCTAAAGTGTCAAAGTAAAAAGCCCACATCTTGCTGTCTGTATAACAAAGGTCTGATCCCTTGTGTGTGTGACTTCCCACTGAAGGAGAGAATTGTTTAGTCTTCGAACAGCCTTGAGGATGGGACCTGGTCCAGTAATGATAAAGCCAGATCTTCAGTCTGCCATAGACTGTGGTACCTACTGGTCGTAGCTCTTTGAAGAGGGCTGGTGCTGGTCCTTGTTTAGCTGCAGTGTTTTCCTTGTTTTAATCTTTCAAACCAGTTACTAAAGGTCATCAAAACGGAGCCTTTGAATCCTCACCCTTCAACTCCTCAGTCATAGCTGTGGTATGTTCTGTACTGCCTTCAGTTCTGTTTATAGAAGGGAGTCCCGAGAACTGTCCTCAATCTAGTGTGCATCAGCTGATGCAATTACTGTGAAACTTGCCTTTGGAGTCTTGTTCTGTGGCTTGAAAGGGGGAGGATGGGGTAGTTTTGTGATCTTACTGTGTATATTTGGTTTTAAAGTACTATGTTCCTTTTAAGCCTGTTTAACTTTCCTGAACAGTTAAATGTTCTCTTCCATCCTTCTACTGCATGGTTCCTCACTTCACTTTCTCATGTGTGTCGAGTCTAGTACCGCTGTCATGTCCTCTATCTAGCTTAGGCCATTGTGCCCTTTTTAAAAAGGTGAAAGCAAAATGAGAATTCTCACAGACTTGCTCTTTCTTAGGACTCACTGAATGCAAAACCAGCAGCAGAAAAAAAAAAATCACTTGACTGTATGATGATGATTGCCAGCATGCTGTGGGGGGTTTGTTTCAGTGCAGCAGAGACAATGTTGTACAGAAATAGCAAGCTGAAGTCTCCAATGTGGAATCTGTTGGGGGTCACCCATACTTCTAGTGGTTGTTCCTAAAACAATCTGTGTAAAACCTGCAATCACCAGCTTGTCCTTGTAAGATTGTTTTCATACTTTTTTAACTTGACACTTTCCCAGTAACATTCTGTAAATAAAGTTGATTCTACCAGCTGTCTGTATCAACTGCTTCTGAACTAAACTATAGTGTCAGTATATTGATTAATTTTTACCATTGTAACTATAACCATGGTTTGAGCTGAAGCTGCAGAAAATTTCAACTTTAGTTTATCTTCTGTGTGGGGGAGAGGAACAGTCTGCTTTGAAGGTAACTGGCCTCACTGAAACAACACTCTGGAATTGCTGCACTTAACCCTGGCTGTACAAAACCAGTTAAGTGTGAGGAGTAAGATTCCAGTGTACTAGAACTCATAACACCACCACCCCCCCCAGCCCTAAAGAAAGGTTGAATGAGGGTCCCCAGCACAGATGCAGGAATCTACTACTAAGCTTAGAAAAAACATTAAGGGAAAATGCTTAGAGTAGAATCAAGGATTGATTCTTGCTGAGTAGCAGCTGCTGTCGCAAGGATTTAGTGCTTGTATGGGTGTCTGAAATCACTGCACTTTGTGCAATAGCATGAAAGGGAGCATTTTTGACACAGTTGGGGAAACACCTCACTTCCTTTTTGTAGGAGAGAAAATGTTAGAGGCTACTGCATTTGATAAGTGTTTTGCTCATGTTAGAGCTCTAACTTTATTAATTTCTATTAAAAAGCAATAGAACTACTACTTTTGGAGCAGTCTGCTTCCCTTGTGCAACTTACCTGAAATTCTTTTACCAAAACTTGAAAGCTTGCACTCACTCACACAGTAAAACACAAGCATCCAGCTTACTTCCACTAGCACAAAACTGAAAGCGGCTGCTCGGGAGCAGAACCTGCCCTGTCTTCCACAGCTGCAGGACTATTCATAGCCTTGGAGTAGCAGGATTAAGGCAGCTAGAGATGGAATTCCATCTCTAGCACTGTAGTGCAAGACAGGGGCTTTGTGTTTTGTTCTAATTTAGAACAAAATAATTCCTGATGTGTGAACTTTTTTCCACTTTGTAAAGAAAACCAGCCCAGGCATCAAAGCTTCCTTGTAAGGTTTTGCCCTTATGAAAGTCACTTAATGTAAGTTTCTCATGCCAGAATGGGATGCTTCAGGATAAACTGGCCAGAAATACCAGTTCTACCATGCAGTAAGGTACTATCAAAGAAAACAAATACCTGTTTGTTACAGATTTGGTAAAGGGCCTGCTCTTTGCCACTTGCAACTAATAAATTTCAGGCACAGTGGTAAACCGTGTGAGAACAGCTTTATTTCTTCACAATCTGAATAACATCCTCATCTTCAAGAGTATGGTCTTTACCAACTTTTTGAGGGTTGTGTTTAACAGATGAACCCCAGACCAGTGCACTGAAAGGAGAAGAAAACCCAAATTTAAAATGCTTAGAAGTATAATTTGCAAACAGTAGAACAACAGCTATTTCTGTCACAAAGCTAATACCAAAAGCAATGCTTAAGAGCTATTTTTATTCTCCTGTGAGTACCTGGATGAGTGGTCTGTGTGAAACAGAGTACCAGCAGATCAAAACAAAGTATGAAGTCATCCAAAATACTTCTGCATACAGGACAACAGCCCGTAATGCTTTGTCTAGCGCTACTTTCAAATATAAAGAGAAACATCTTCCCCATAGAGGAAAGTTATCCAGGAAAGAGCATAGGAACATCAAATACAGTAATTTAAGTATTAAGTTTGTCATTGGCAGATCCATTCTGTTCAATACCAAATAAAATCAAATCCCATTTTGCCTTCTGGTTTAAAAGAGACTGAAAGAATATACCAGGAAGGAGATTATTTTCTTTCTGTATAAATTATTCTTTTACAATTATACTTACTATTTAAAATCTTTAATGAGATTTTTGTGGATCTTCATGCAAAAATCCTCCACTGTGGTCTTGCAGTAAGGTAGTACCACAGGAGAGCTATAGTCTGGGAGCTGCCCTTTAGGCTTGGTGTAGCTGTAACGCAGACAGAACAGTCAGTCAATACCAACACCTCCTCTTCTCTTTCAACCCATCATGAAATTTCATAGGTCATTCACACTGTCATCCTAGGTGCTTGTGCCGAGCTCCGCTAGTGACAACAGATACTCTAAACTGTCTGGTGTTCTTAAGCCAAAAATGCATCTGGGTAGCCAATGGCTGCAGCAGGTTCTCCTGCAAAGGTTTACCACTAGTGAGCTTTCTGGAGTTGCTTAGAAGATGAAGCAGGCATAGCTGATGGAAAAGAACATCTACAGTACTATGATTCTCACCTGTGATTTTTTTTTTCTCTGAAAAACTCAACATATATTAGGAAAAAAACTGACGAGGTCTATAGCCCAGATACCCAGACATACTAAATCCCTTTTGACAATACATTTTATATTGTCACAAGAGCATAGACAGAAGTTTAAAAGACTGCAATTGCTGTATTATGAGTATTCACAGATTCATTCATAAATACATCCAAAGAAATGTGTTAGAAGTATGAGGTAAACCTGGAATAATTTATAGTCAAAATATCTGAAATGCTAGATGAAGAATTAAATTTAGTTCTGTTACAAGAGCTGAATGCAGGATAGACTGAAGAGAGGACTACCTCTGATATTCACAACTTTGCACCAAGTCTGACTAGAATTCCATGTTTTCAGGAATTTTTTAAGAGGTACTTCAGCTTTGGATTTGGTTTCACAAGGTTCTCATTTAATTCCCCTACCAAGTTCAAAACAGCTCTTGTGACTGTTAAGAAACTCTGTTTATCACACAACAGACAAGAACACAATTTCCAATTGAGTAAACATACTTCAGTGACAAAAGACATCACCATTTCAAAGCTAGAGTTCTAAGCTAGCAGAAAAACATGATAAAATAATCATCGTTCATCCACTCGAGACATTCTTCAGTCTCAGCCTTAAACTTCACAGAAGGCAGCAATTGGGACTCACATTCGTACTAGCTTCAAGTAGTCCCAAATTTTCTCCAGCAGATCATCAAAGTTCCAGCGATGATGAGCAGATATTGGTACACAGTGGGGTACTTTGTAAATAATATCTAGTTCCTCAATGGAAATTTGGTCAATTTTATTTAGGACGTAAATGCATGGGATGTAAACCCTGCAAAGAGAAGGAAATGCCGTTACAGCAGCCTAGCAGCAGTACACTCCTACCTTCACTGGAAAGGCAAAACATTTTTTTTAAAGGACATCCCTATGCTGATAGATACCACGTTGTAGCTTAGCTTCTGTGGGAAGCGAACCTGAGAGACAGTTCTTTTCTTTGTAATATAAACTGCAGCTATGCCCAAAGCCAGGGTCCCAACAGTACCTGTTTCCTTCCACAACGTCAATTAGGTCATCAGCAGTGGCATCACTGCGCAGTGTGACATCAGCATTGTGAATTTTATACTCTGCTAAGATGCTCTTCACTGTTTCGGTATCCAGCTCACTCTGAGGACACTGAACATAGACACAGTATTAAGGAACGGAAGAGTTTACAGTCAAATCCAGTATTCCAATGAATAAGGCTATCACCTAGCAATTGCTGCAGGTGGATTACTAGAAATAATAGCTGCATTGTAAGTCACTGGACTCGACTATGATTTTACCATAGCTAGCCTCAGGAGAGGGGAAAAAAGATTTAAATCGTAACAGCTTTATTTATATTAATGCCCCACTGATAGCTGCAGTCAGACATTTCAGAAGCAGTGCTTCCTGTCAGTCTGGGACCAGCTGCAATACAAACCCACCTACCTACTAGTTCAGTGCCCAGAAAACTACAGGGTAGGTGCTTAGATCCCAGAGCAGACTTCTGGGTTTTGGCATCTCTGGCCATTTCTACGCTCATAAAGATTCAGTGGTAAATGGGAAATGAGAAGGAGCCCAGGTTGCAAGGCCTGGAACTCTGAGCAACCTTCTCCAGAAGAATGCTGTAGCCACCAAGCCAAGGCAGTGTTTGCGCACTCTCCTCTGGGCCTCAGGACTTGTAACTGTTGGAAAGCAACCAAGCCTCTGATTTGGGGGTGAGGAGGTGGTCCGGCTCCTAGGACAGGTACGGATGGCCTCCAACAGAAGTACCTGACCACAGTACAGCAGGTCAGCTTCTAAAGAAGTCACAGCACAGGAACGGTCCCAGCCATACCATTAACTGCAAATGCCTCTTTCTTCAAGCAGGTTTTTTTGTTTAGTTCAGTTAAAGAAAACTTCCAACTTACTGTGGCTGTAAGGTTAATGCCTCCTTTATCCTTTTTTTTAAAGCCGATATTGGGGGGCTTACTATTCAGACGAATTCCAAATCCCTCCAGTTCATTCTCAATGATTTTCTTGTGACCAAGGGGTTTCAGCACGTCCAGGACAATCAGAATGAGATTACAGGTTCGAGCAACTAAGAATCAGAAAAAGAAAGTCATCTCAAAAAAGTACGCTCACACAATCTGAGACAAAACACCACAAAATATGGCTCAGTGGACTGATCACACTATTAAACCCCTGAAGGCCAGTAGGTTACTTATTTTTAAATTCCAGTATGACTGAAGTTTGTAGTGCTGGCCAAGCATTGCTGATAGACAGATCCTTACATGTTATAAGAAACACCAAGGCTGGAAAAACCTTCCTTCCTGTCTACATTCAGACCCCAGATTGATAACAATAAACCAGGGAAAGAAATGAAGACAGCAGCCTTGTTTAATATACTTTTCACTGCGGTGTCAACACAGAGCACGAACTCAGCAAATACATAAAGCCAGAATGGAAAACAGAACAGAATGACAATGGCTACTGCTTCACAGCAGGTAGCTCAGTTCCAGCATACAATTCAGCTTCTTGAAGACATTGGAAATGGTGATTCAACCCTTCATTCTCATAAGCTGTACCAACGGAACCACTGATAGGATGCTGCCTGCAGCTCTAATATACTCACCTGCAATGACTTGCCGTCCTCTGCCTTTACCATCCTTGGCACCTTCAATAATGCCTGGGAGATCAAGTAGCTATTTGTTCAGAGGAAGGAAAGTAACTCATCAGAAAAGTATTTTTCTTCATGGAGAAAATAAATCATACTTTTACCTTTCTCCTAAACCAGCTGACTCTACTGCAAATCTGAAAGAATATGGCAAACTTATTTCCCCTTTGATTCTTATATACGCTACTGTCCCATATGCCCTATTGGTACCACGGAACAGATTATCTCATAGAGAACATGAGAACTACCACAGGAACTTCTACCCAGAGCAAAGCGAAAAGCAGGGTAAAATCAGCACCTGATGGAAACACTTCCAACGTATTCTCAAGCATGTCTACATGTCACTTCTAACTTGCTAATGTCAGGCTAGACCATTCAGCCATAACACTGCTGCGTCTACATATACCATCTTACGCTCACAGACACAAAAATATCTCACCTGTATCTTTGCTCCTTTGTATCTAATGACTCCAGGCACAGTAGTTAGTGTAGTGAATTCATATGCTGCCACTTCAGAGTACACACCAGCAAGATTACTTAGAAGAGTAGATTTCCCCACTGATGGAAAACCCACAAACCCAATTCGGGCATCACCTGTCTTTGCAACATCAAAACCTGCAAATAAGGAGAAAAAATACGAATTTAAAAACCAACATTTTCTATCTTCTAAGGCTCTGGACAGCAGTCTCGCTACTACTTTTAATACTGCCCAAGTGAAAGCCAGGTAAGCTTCCCTACAAAGAGGACAAGAGTATGAAACAGAGTTCACAGCCTATATTGCCTTGCACCACTTTGTCTGTATGACACTCCCTGGCATACACCTGTCAATAAAGTGTAGGCTGCAAGGCTTCCCAGTGGGCTACACCTGATGTGAGTGTAGGTGGAGCATTCCCTTTAAGCACTGCAGCTTAGACAATTGCCATCTTTATATATAAAAACAGGCGGCTCCTGCATAAAACCCCTACGACTTCTGCAAATACAAGACTATATTAGCCAAAATGCAGAAGCCCTTTCACTTACACTTCAACAAGGGCTCTACCCCAAAGCCCTAGAAAGGGCCACAAACCACAGCTAAGGTCTTGTACCAGGAAGGGCAAGAGGGAGCCAAGCGGGTTGCTCCGATTTAATTCAGCAGCCTGACACGATCTAAGCGAACAGGAGCCACTCCCGTTAGGTCGACC